AGGCCCTGACACCATAGTTAGTTTTCTTGGCATTTAATTCGACTGGTGTGAAGGAATGCACCTTGATTCCAAGGCTCAAGCTACAGATACCATTTTGTGGTTCAGTCTGTAATAAAATTGGCTAACTTCTATCATGATATGCTTCATGTTTAAATTAACTTTGTCCTCTATTAGTTCGTCTTCCCCGTAAAAACTAGACCCCCCCTGGAGTACTTCTTGTGGACTGCTTATCTTGTGACATTTATAAATATGTCTCTACTTACATTCTTTTCCTATGACTGTTTAAAAAAACGTAAATATGTTTTGCACGTATCCCCCACTGTATAAAACGAATTGCCCCCAATTAAAGCTAGAAGCATCTTTTGATCTACAATCTCTGTGTGTCTTATTTTGCTTTCTCTAAGCGCTCAAACTAACAATTTCTTTGATAAACATATCTTTGGATTACAATTTTTATCCACAACAATTTTAGTGCTGAAACCCAGGAGAGGCAATCCATCCCATACGGACACAAATCCTGGAGACAGGAAGCCGCCACAGATGGTGAATCCTAAAGCTGCAACGGGTAAGAAAACTTTTATTTTCTACCTATTTTTGCTTCACTCTCTGTCAGTTCTCTGTGTCCCTTGTCTGGGTGGGTAAGGATTTAAAAAGATCTCTTCTTAAAGAACTTGTTTTCTGTGGTATAATATGTTCAGGTAGAAAGTCTTGTGAAAAAAATCTTGAGATTGTAGAATATATCTGTGGGTTTCAAGTTGTTTTTATTGTCTTTTGTTTTTGGATAAGAATTAAAATCCTCCAGGGCAGATCCCCTGATCTGTGTTTAGATTAAGAAGACTGTGAAAATTCCACTGCAGTGATCCTAAGAGTTTAAACACTGTTTGTATAGTCTTGTCTTGCCCAGGTAAAATGAGTAATTCTCAAAGTACCCAGGAGAAAGTCATGTCTCTGACTATAGTCAAACATCATAAAGGACAAGGAATGAATAGTAAAAGAAAGAAAGCATGCATGCCCTCAGAGGGCACCCTCGACCCACAAATATGGAAGGAATTTAGCAAGCAAAGAAGAACAAGACCTCAAGAGGAAACAAGATGCAGAACCTGATGATGATAATAATAAATGTGGAATAAAGGTAAAAGACTATGTTTACCATGAATCATATACCCTATGATGGCCCATGGACCAACCCATTTGTCCAAAATGAACATGGACTGTATAGTAAGCACCCACTGGGTGGCACCTGGTTTACCGTTGTAGCAGCTAAACACACCAGGCTTGCATGATTTGTGCTAGAAATAACCCCAGACAGGCTGTCTAAACACATACCAAGGCCACTTTACCCATTTCAGTGACCGCAGATAGACTGTATTCAACTGCCTAAGATAGGAGTGTATGAATATGTGTTGGTGTTCATTGATCTCTTTCAGGTTGGCCTGAGGCCTACCCAGTGTCGAAAGCCACAACGAAGGTCACAGCAAGTAAGCTTCGGAAGGAACTGGTTTGTAGATACAGAGTACCTGAAGTGATTGAAAGTGACAGAGGTAGTCATTTCACTGGAGAGATAACGCAAGAAATAATGAAAGTGCTAGGGATCAGTCAGGCTTTCTACTCCCCCTACCATCCCCAGAGTAGTGGGAAAGTAGAATGGTCAAATGGCATTTTAAAGAATAAAATTGCAACGGCCATGCAAGAGACAGGGAAACCCTGGACTGAATGTCTCCCCCTAGCACTCTTCTCTATCAGATTCACCCCCTGTCCTAGAAGATGTTTGTCTCCCTTTGAAATTCTGTTTGGTTGTGCCCCAAAGACAGGACTCTATTTCCCCAGACACTCCAATTACAACAAAGTAACATGACCTCCTATGTCCAGGCCTTCCATAAGAAGTTTGATTCTATTCCAGATCCAGACTCCAGTTCTACCATTCATAAACTACAACCTGGAGATTGGGTATTGATAAAAAGACACGTGAGAAATGAACTTAAGCCAAGATTTGATGGTCCCTTCCAAGTATTGCTAACTGCAGCTACATCGGTAAAACTGAAAGGCAAGCCCACATGGATACACGCCAGCCACTGCAAACAAGTGCACCCTACCGACCCACCATCAAGAAAGTGTTCTTTTCCTTTACCATTATATGCTCTGTTCAGCAATGGTACTCTGACTTGAGACCAGAAGATAATAATGCATGACAGGGAAATATATGGATGCAGATAGCAAAGTGTCACGTATTCATCCGCTTATAGAAATCTGGTTAATGACATTTACTGTCCACACAGGAAAAGTTGTGCCGAGTAGCAACCTAATCCACAGAAGGGTTAATGCTGAGCAGCAATTATGCAAATGAAACCTGGTAACTGACTTTGGGGTCAAAGGCCGGTTCCAGCCTACCAGAACTAAAGGAGGGGTATTTAGGCCCAGTTCTCAGCCTGCTCAGTGCCCTGTCATGGTTTCCCTTGTGGTTGTCCGAGAGCGCGTTCCTGTTTATAGCTTTCTACCTGTTTTTTGACTTTGGCTTTGTTTATTGACTTCTCTATATTCTGCTATCCTGACTCCTGGCTTTCCTCATCGCTGTGTCCCTTTCTGTGTTCCCTGACCTCGGCTAGTATTTTTGACTATAATTTGTACGTTAAATCCGGCCATTCTAAGGACCGGTAATACGTTACTTATTTGTCATCCGTGCTGTACAGTTCTACGTGCTGGATCAAACAGTAATCCTGACACAAAGGCTTTTAATCTAACCTCCTTTTGCTTCCACCCTCTCCTAAGTACTGAAAACACCATGCAATCTTGTCTTATAGCTGTCCCTACCCCCACGTCACTCTTGGAGAAGTACCTACATACTCATAGACCCCATAAAACACTACAACTACATTCTTATGCTTTCAAGCCCCCTTTAGCCCTGAAAGCAATTAATGTGACAGCTGCTGAAATGTTGGTCTTTTTCATGTAATTGTCCGAGAGACCCTAATACTAAATCCCTGTTTTGCCCCACATGGTGGATAAATACCACAAATTGTAGAGCCCTGAACACCACCATGAAATGTAACCAAACTTACCAAGTTATGAGTTACCATCACCATGTCTATCTCCCTAACCGTTGGACTTTTTCCTGTGGAAATGTTACTTATGCTTATGTCCCAGGTAACATTACAGGAGGTCCCTGTGCAAGCTCACGCTTAACCATGACCATGTTTTACAAATCTGACCTAATCTCTGAAACCACCCAGCTATGCAAATCACAGAGAAACAGGAGTGATGTCAAAAACACCCTTACTTCAAATTGTAACCCTGAAATCACTCTTATCTGAATACTCTGCCCTAGCGTACTCCATGGTAGGAGTCCCAGGCTTAGCACTGTATAATACCCGAGTTCCCTCACCAAAGGTTTAAATGCAACATCCCAGGCCTTGGAGGAACTTTTAATGGAGACCCCGGTTAATAATAAAGCGATCCTTGAAAATAGAGCCGCTATTGATTATTTACTGTTGAAACATGACTTAGGATGTCAAGCTGTTAAGGGTATATGTTGTTTTAACCTATCTGATCATGGGACCATGATACACGAACACATACAGAAATTACACAATTTAGTGAAATTAATTAAGCAAGACACCGGGTTCTTTGAGGATTGGGATTAGACATTTGGACTGGGAACATGGTTGAGTTTATTAAGAAAGTTTGAACTTGTTGTTATCATCTGTGTTTATGATAATGGCGATCTTTCTCACTTTTAAGCTCATTTCTTGTCTATTAACATCTATGTGTAAAACCAAATTTACTGTTGGTTGAACTTTAACCTATACGCCAGTTTCTCCTGCTTCTGAAGTCTTCAGGGCTTAACTGATGGAGAAAAATCTCCTCAGCTGGTTCTTGGGTTGCCCAGTCTAAGAGAACTGTGGTGAAAATGTAATGAAAGTCCCACAGGTGTGACTAGCACACCTGGAAATACCTTGGACAATTGGGTGACCCTTGGATCAAAAGAGGGGATTGTGAAGGTATGCATCTTGATTAAAAGGCTCAAGCTACAGATGCCATTTTCGGTCTTTAATAAAATTGGCTAGCTTGGATTAGGATATGCTTTATGTTTAAATAAACTTTGTCCTCTATTAGTTCTTCTTACCCATAAAAACTAGCCCCCACTGTTAAAAAACAGTAAATATGTTTTGCACGTAAGCATGTATCCCCTACTGTATTAAATGAATTGACCCCAATTAAAGCTAAAAGCATCTTTTGATATACAATCTCCATGTGTCTTATTTTGCTTTCTCTGAGCGCTCAAACTAACAATGAGTTCCCCTAAACATATCTTTGGATTATAATTTTTATCCATAACAGTGGCTATGGAATCCAACTTGCCGAGGGATAAAATTTAATGTATCCTAGCGTGTATTGATGATTATTGTAAGGAATTACAATCATTGCTTGGATCATTGAATTTTTCAATGAGAATCATCCCTCAGGGCAGGTCATTCATTTCAAGGCTTCTGTTTATTACCGGGTCTTCCCTCTGAGGACAGTAGTGTTTCTCTTGATTACCAGGCCACAGCAGATTTACGGATGTTGCAGAAATTGAAGATTATGCTAGCTTTAGTGTACAGATAATCTTAATTTTAATAATGACAAGAGGCGAGTATTTTGCATAATCTTTCTTTACTATCTCCATAGCAGCAAAGAAAAGAGTGACAAAACTTTTAACCAATCACAACGTAGAATAGGGTATAAGAGGTGTTACCTATGACATCATTTCCTCTTTAAAAATTGCGACATCACAAGTTCATAAATGTAGAAATAACAGAACAACTGAGAAGTCCATAGAACAAGAAACTGGAAACTTAATCAGAGTAAATTGAACCGGAACAGGTAGAATGCAGACGAAGGCGTCTCCTTGTCTACCAAGACCTGATGATAAATCTCCTGATGCGATGATGACGACATCTTGTATGGAGACTTTAATGATTCCGTGTAGCTTCTGGTTAAGCTGAAACGAGAGTATAAGGTGCGTTAGAGTCCAGAAGTGATTGTATAAAACAAAGGATGTCTGTCCCGTAATTCAACTTTAATATCGTCTAGTAACATGATAATAATAAACTAAACGTCCTCCCTTAGTGGTGTTAAATAAGTATCCCACCCAGACAATATATATATAGCTCTATAAGCGAATGTAAATAAGGCATTTAAACAAGAGCTACCGCGTCAGGTATTATACCAACATATGAGAGAGCAAAGTGTAGTAGGTAGAAGTGAAAATGAAAGGGAGGGAAGAACGAAAGAGAACAGGGAGGGAAAATACTCGCCTCCTGTCATTATTAAAATTAAGATTATCTGTACACTAAAGCTAGCATAATCTTCAATTTTATCACATGACAGGAGGCTTCGTATTTTGCAATTTCAACGCTGTGAAAGAAAAGCGAATGCCGGATTATCAAGAGGGCGAAAGTAGAATGTCCTAAAGGTAGATTCTCTGGTCCAGTCCGCCGCTCGTAAAATGTCCGAAAGGGACGCGCCTGCCGCATAAGCGGAAGAGGCCGCTGCCCCACGAACGGAGTGTGCTCCAAAAGTTTGGTCAATACCGGCAAGGGATAGTAGCCATCTAACCCATCTGGCCAGTGTAGTAACCGAAACCGGACCATAAGGGCGGACGTAAGAGATGAGAAGCTGATGAGTGGAAGGCTGCCGCAACGTCGCGGTGGCTTCCACGTATTGACGGAGGGTTGAGACCACGCAGAGTTGAGGGTCAGAAGGGAAGAAAGGGTAGAAAACCGAGTGAGAGTTGGACTTAGTGCGTGAGATCCGAAAGGTGACACCCGCCGGACAGAAGGTAAACGCGTTGGCGTCAAAGGCGCGTACGTCCGCTACCCGTCGAAAGGAAACCAGACAGAGCAGGAGGGTGAATTTTGCGGTAAGCTGGCGGAGTGATAGTTTCTCGTTGGGAGGCCAATTTCGTAAGAATTGAAGGACCACACCAACGTCCCAAAGTCTAGAATATTTAGGTTCCGGGGGGCGCCGTAGGCGCATGCCGCGGAGAAGTCTGCAGATGAGCGGGTCCTTACCAACAGGAGTCCCCTGTGTCGGAGTATGAGCCGCTGAGATGGCTGACCGTACCACGTTGATGGAACGGTATGATTTTCCGGCAGTGAAAAGTGAAGTCAGGAAATTCATGATGGAGTGAGTAGGTGCAGTAAAGGGATTGAGGTCCCGTCCCACACACCAACTTGTCCAGGAGTGCCATGCTGATAAGTAGCACCTCCTAGTTCCTGGTGCCCATGAATCCCATAGCAGGTCCTTAGTTTCCTGCAATAATTCTTCGGTTCTCCAGGAACCCCGGAAAGAGTCCAGGCCACAAGGGGCAAGCGTTCCTGCAGGACTAGTGGGTGAGGTAGGCCAATGGGTTCCTGAGGATGGTTGGGGCATCGGGTAGGAGGAGGGGATCGTTGATTGAAAGTTCCAGAAGGTCCGGATACCATGGCTGGCTCTGCCAGAGCGGTGTGATGAGAATTATTCTCACTCCCTGTAGACGGATCCGGTGAAGGACCCTCGTTATCATTGCGAAAGGAGTGAATGCGTAGGCACCGTCCCTTGGCCATTGTTGGAGAAAAGCGTCCGTTGCGAGGCTCTCCGGGTCTGGGAGCCAGCTGAAGAAAACCTCTGTCTGTCGATTGTTGCGGGACGCGAAAAGGTCTATGTAGAGAGGTCCCCTCTGTGCATCCAGTAGCGTGAAAATATGAGGGTCTAGCTGCCAATCGCTGGCGTCCCGCCAGTGGCGTGAGTACCAATCCGCCGTCGTATTGGAGTCTCCTGGTAAGTGCTCTGCCAGCAAGGTGATGTTGCATGGTAGGCAGTAGTCGAAGATCTTTCGTGAGATCCGCCAGTGTTCGAGAACGAGTGCCTCCAAGGCGGTTGATGTATCTGACCGCTGAGACGTTGTCCATGCGGAGTAGGATGCAGCAGTTGGATCGATCCTTTGCCAGGCTGCGAATGGCGAAGGACCCGGCCAAGAGTTCCAGGCAATTTATGTGCATCGAGAGCTCTTCGGAAGTCCAGACTCCTCCTGTGGACGTGGTTCCGTCTGTTGCTCCCCAGCCTGAACGACTGGCATCCGATTCCAGCACGAAGTCTGGCTGGTTCCCGAATATGGCCCTGCCATTCCAAGCCTGCATGCAATTCAGCCACCAGTGTAGTTCTTCCCGAACTTCGACCGACATTGGAACCGGTTGGTCGTATGTCGGTTGTCTGCGAAGGAAACTTGCCTTGAGGCGTTGCATGGCCCTGTAGTGCAGGGGCCCGGGAAAAATGGCCTGGATGGATGCAGAGAGAAGGCCTACGATCCGTGCCAGTAATCGTAGGGGTATGGTAGTCCGACGAAGGACTTTCCGGATCTCCCTGCGGATTGCCGTAATTTTGGTAGCCGGGAGGTGGAGAGTGCATGATGTGGAGTCTATTACGAATCCGAGGAATTGAACTGATTGAGCCGGGGTCAATGCAGACTTGGGACGGTTGACGACGAAACCCAGAGAGTCCAAAAGGTGTAGTGTGTATTCCGTGTGTCTCCGCAGAGTCTCTGCATCCTCGTCGAAGATCAGGATATCGTCGAGGTAGATGATGCATCTTATGTCTTGGGATCTGATTTTCGCCACTACCGGCTTCATAATCTTGGTAAAGCACCACGGGGCCGAGCTGAGGCCAAACGGGAGACAGGTGAACTGCCAGGGGATCCCGTGCCAGAAGAAGCGGAGGTAGGGACGGCTGCTTCTGTGTACCGGAATGGTAAGGTACGCGTCTTTGAGGTCCAGACGAGTGAACCAGTCGTCGTGTCGAAGCAAGTCCCGGAGAAGATGTATACCTTCCATTTTGAAATGTCGATATACCACGTGAGAATTGAGCTCCCTGAGATTGATAACGGGGCGAAATTTGCCGGTTTTCTTCCTGACCAGGAAGATATTGCTGTAGAAACCGGTGGCATCCGGAGCCGGTTGTATGGCACCCTTGGAGCGAAGTTCTCGGAGTTCCGCATCTATGAGGCGGGCGTCTGCCCGTGTAGTCTGGATCGGACGTGGAGGGGCCAGCTGGAGCGGGGTCGAGTCGAACTCTATTCGATAGCCCTGCACCGTTTGGATTATCCATGCGTCTGAAGATAGTTCTTTCCAGTTCTGGAAAAAAAAGAGAAACACGACCTGCGATATGACAGGGGGTTAGAGGAAGAGTAAGATTCCGACTTACCGTTGGAGAATCTTGCTCGTGAGCTGCCTCGGCCACGATCAGATCCCCTGAATTGGTGGAATCTATGTCGACTAGATGAGTCTGGGTAGAACATTTGCTGAGTCCTTGTTGTACGGGGGCCGGATGGCCTAAAACGGCTGGCGGCACGGCCCCTCTGCCGTCCAGCCCTTCCAAAAACACCACGGGTGTGAGGACCGCGGAAGACTTTCCGCATTGAAGTTTGTGCCTTGTTAAGGGACGTGAATATGTCGACCCTTTTATTTAATTCCTTAAGGAAGGCCTCTCCAAATAATTTACCCTGTGCTAAGGGTCCTAATTCCTTGTCCCCCAGTTCGGCCAGTTTTTCGTCGATACGGTAAACTGCTGCTCGGTGCCTCTCCGAAGAGAGGGCTACGTTGGTGTTCCCTAGGAAACAGAAACACCTTTGTGCCCATTCCCGGGTATCTCGTGCCCATTCACGCACCGTATCTGGGGTAAAAGCGTCAGCCCTCTCATAGGCTTCATCCACAATATCCATGATTCTGGCTAGTGGCCCAATGGCATCTAGCAGTTTGTCTTGCGCTCCTTTAAAGCCACGCTCTATGCCCTTGCGCGGATCCCGACCCCCTCGGGACATGAATGTAGTCATGAGTGGGTCAAACTCGGGGGTGTGCGTCACTTTGACTGGTAGACTAGGGCGAGGGCATTCGGATCTCATCCGGTTTCTTACTTCCTTGTCCAGCGATTTTTCTGAGCCAGAAGTGCATAAACCTTGCCAAATGCTCAGGTGGTGACCATTCTTCCGAACGGGGGTGCCGGATGTTTCTTGGGTCAAACATTTGGAGGCCCGAATTGTTGAGGAAAATCTCCGTGCCCTCCTGTGGGTTATCCATGGATGTTGCCATGGATTCCTGGGGCTCACCCAGACCCTGTTCCCTTATGAAGTAAGGGTCAGAGTTGGCTGTGGAATCCCTGTCAGAGTCCCCTTGGTCAGAGGCTGCCGCCTGCCATTCATCCAGCACAGCAAGTGCCTGAGTGGGTTCTACATCTTCCTCACCTGAGGAAAGTTGTGTGGCATCGTGGGTAGCACAAACCGTGGCTTTTCTGCGATCAGCAGGGGCTTTCCCTTTAGACTTGCGTGGGGTTACATTGCCCTTCCAATGGCGTTTTCGCCATTGGGAGTGTTCCCTGGAAGAGTCGGAGTCTTCGGTGTCCGCTTTATAATGAACCCGTTTAGAGATGGGCCTGGGGACTTCAGAGTCTGTTTGGAGTGACTTGGAAGCGGCTTGTTCCATAGCTGCAGCCACGGCTGCTGTTATCATGGCCTGGAGGTCTGAGGTTTGTGATTCCTCCATTATAAAGAATGAGGAGGGCACTAGGCACGATTAGTGGAGAGGCCTGGGGACCGGGGTGGTATAGTATCAGGACTAAATAACAACCTGTGGTTAGAGACCGGTAGGTCGTAGGAAGAGGAGAGGGCTGTTTCACTGGGGCTCACCCAGGTGATCGGAAACCTGCATGAACAGGTCCGTTTAGCAGCGTAAAATGGGGGGCTCACCCCGGCCAGAATAAGGTACAGACCAACTGGCTAAACCAACCCCAAGTGTAAGGCACTAACCTGGTCCCACTGAGTGAAAAGGGTCAAGGCTTTCCAATTGCTTGCCGGATTAGCTGGAGCAGAAAAAATCAGGCAGTGTCTCTCTTTAAGATGGCCGCCGGACTGACAGGCTTAGTGTGTGGAGGATAGTACCTCCCCCAGTTTGGGCGGCAAACTGCAAGCTTGCCGTTCGCATAATAAAACTGCCGAACGTGCGAATAGAAAATAGATGCGAACGCCTAAAAAGGCAATCGCGTCAAACTGCCGAACGAAGCGTTCAGTTGAAAGAAACGAATAGTCAATGTGCGTTCGCACAGAAAAGACCGCGGGCATTCGTGTAAAACAGGCGAATGCGCCAAAAACTACCGAATAAAGCGTTCGGTAGAAACAACCGAAAGGGTTGTGCGCGAGCGCACAGAAAAGCCGTTGGAAGAAACAGAGATATGGAGGGAAAGTACAGACGGCGGGGAAGCCGTGAAAGACACCTAGGGAGCCAGGCAAGGTCCCATGGTATACAGATAGGGTAAGAGCAATAATAGGGCAAATATATAAAGGTACAGTGATAGACAAAAGGCATGTAAATGAATAAGTGTATGTTGAATAGATAACACAAAATTTAGTACTTAACTTGTGATGGAGCAGCAAAGAAAGAGGAAATGATGTCATAGGTAACACCTCTTATACCCTATTCTAAGTTGTGATTGGTTAAAAGTTTTGTCACTCTTTTCTTTGCTGCTATGGAGATAGTAAAGAAAGATTATGCAAAATACGAAGCCTCCTGTCATGTGATAAAATTCCTATGTCAATGGAATGGGAAATCTATGTTTATCCCTCCTATTTCTGACAGTTCCCCAATGCTCTGGTCAGATGCAACGACTTCCACCAGCTTTGCAGTAATTTGTGGTGACCAATGGCTGTGGGGCTGTTGGCCGCCCGGAACCGAAGCATTGGAAGCTGTTGTGGCCGCAGCAGAAGTCTGGGGACACTCCTGGTCTGGTACAATGTTTTCTGACAATCAGGTGGCATGTCATATCATTAATAAAGGTTGTTCTCCTTCTCTCGTTATCTTGAGTTTCGTTAGATGCTTTAACTTGGTTAGCAGCAACTCATCAATCCTTTACCTTGTATAAACATGTTACCGGTATTCACAACATGGCAGCTGACTATTTGTCTCGCTTCTGTTTTCAGAACTTCCTCCAACTATACCACAGTGCCTCATCAATGCCAACTCCGGCCCCTCAATTTCAAGACCTCTTCATGGATTAGGCTAACTCCTGGCGCATTGCAGAGTACTTTTACAGTATGCTCTGACAACACAAGACGATCATACAAAAGAGCTTTCAATTGTTTTGTGAGATTTACTAAAGAATTTCATGTGGTAGACACTTGCTCAATGGAATCTTGAGTGGCTTTCACTTCCTTGTGCCACCTCAAATTGCAACTATCTTATAACACAATCAACTTTATCTCACAGAGTTGCAACATCACATGCTTACACTTTTTCCAAACAAACAAACTTTTTTATCCTCTTATCAAATTAAAACAATATTAAAGGGAATCCAGTGGTGCAGTACACCAGAAACACCTCTGAGATTACCAATCAATGGGAACTTATTCAGGTCTCTATCAGACATCTTGGACACTTCACCATTCGAAACAAAGACCAATCAAATGTTAAAAGCCGCCATATACTTAGCTTTTTACAAGTTCCTTAGACCTAGGGAATTTACCATCAACACTTCTGAATTAGGGTCATGCCTTAAAATATCACAAATCATAAAGCATGAAGACCATTATGTACTCTCTCTCTGCAACATACCAACACCAGTCAAACAGGTCAAACTGTAAAAGTTCCTTATTATGCACATATATATATATAATTTTTTTTATTTATTATTTTAATATATATATCTCTCCTGATGAAAGCTCTACTTAGGAGCTGAAACGTCGACCATTGGATTTATTGGAATAAAGGAAGATTGATTTACCAATTGATCAATTTTGCACTACTACTATATTTTTCATGTGACCAGAGAACCAACTACCAAACACATTTCTAAAGTTGGAGTGCGGGAGCTTTGAGGAAAGTGTGTGTATGTATGTATGTATGTATGTATGTATGTGTGTGTGTGTGTGTGTGTGTGTGTGTGTGTATATATATATATATATATATATATATATATATATAATTAAATAAAAAGAATTCTCACCGCTCTTGAGTGGTATGTTTAGTCCTCATTCTCGGGTCCTCTGGAATCTGTTGAATCCACTCCCCCAATTTAGGATTACTCAGGGCTGTGACTCCCGTCACAACTGGGACTACTACTGCATTCAATTTCCACATCCTTTCTAGTTCTTCTTTCAGTCCTTGGTATTTGTCCACCTTCTCTTGTTCCTTCTTCCTTATGTTATAGTCACTGGGTATTGCCACATCCACCACAACTGCAGTCTTTTGTTCCTTGTCTACCACTACGATGTCTGGTTGGTCGGCCAGCACTTGCTTGTCTACCTGAATCTTGAAGTCCCACAGGATCTTAGCCCTGTCATTCTTGACTACCCTTTGTAGTATCTCTCCAATCCATATTATGTGCAGGTGTTTCGGTACACAATCCCAGCAATTTGGTTGTGTCTCTCCATGTATACTGTTCTTGCTAACATATTGCAGTCAGCTACTAGGTGTTGGACTGTCTCAGAGGCCTCTTTGCACAATCACACCTTGGGTCTTGCCTGGTGTGGTAGACTCCAGCTTCTCTTGATCTGGTGCTGAGTGCCTGC